TTTCAATTATTTTCAAACACTTTTCTCAATTCGATAAAATTCTTTTTACAGAGATTCAATTATTTTTAACACAATTTTAATCGTACTCCTCAAAAAATATTATTTTTAAAAATTTTATTAAAATTCGTCGAAAGAATTAAATTATATTTGATATTTCTAGAAACTGTAAAAAAATTTTTCTCAAGAATTCAAATATTTCTATAAATAGCAAAATTCTTCAGATTTACTAAATTTTTTTGAATATTATTTTTAAAAAATATTCTTCACAAGAATTCAATTATTTTTATAAATTTCCATAAAATTCTAAAAAGCAATTCAATTATTTTCAAAAGTAATAAAATTCTTCGCAAAAATTCAATTATGTTAAAAAAATTTTAAGAATTCTCGTTAAAATTCTTGGCAAAATTTCAATTATTTTCAAAACACTTTTCTCAATTCAATCAAATTTTTTTTACAGAAATTCAATTATTTTTAATAAAATTTTAATTGAACTCCACGAAGAATGTAATTATTCTTAAAATTTTTATTAAATTTTGTCAAAAGAATTCAATTATATAACAATTTTTTTTAATAAATTCTTTATGAGTATTTAATTTTACAAAGCATTCAATTCTTTTTTAATAAATTATTTTTTTTTGTATTTAAATAATTGAATTCTTGCAGAATTCTAATAAAAATTGATTTAAATATGAATTTCAGTTAAAATTGTAAATAATAATTGAATATTAAACTCTTTTAATTTGAATTAGTAAAAATGTTTTCTAATTTGAATTAGTAACTGACTTTTTGCTTTTGAATTAGCAGATCTTTGAAAGTTTGGATTTTTCATACTTTTAACTGAAAATTGTGTAGATATAATTTTTTTTTAAAAGTTTAATGAAACTTTTTTGAAACTATTTTAAGTTTTTATTTTCTACTGTATATTTGAATGAAGAATTTCCGAATAATAGATGAAATTTTGTAAAATTGAATTGTAAATTTGTAAACAAAAGTATTTCAAAATTTTCAAAGAAATTTTTCAAAAATTATTAAAAATAATTAATTTAAAGAAGAATTTTAGTTATAAATTCTGGAAAACAATAATTGATTTGAAATGATGAAAATAATTTTAAAGAAGTTACAGTAAAAATATTTTTATAATATAAAAAAATGATTTTATCACTCGGTCAACTTTAATTATTATAAAACATGAATAAATCGATTGCTCCGAGTCGAAGACTTGGACTGATCGATTTCTTCATGTTTTATAACAATTTTTTATAAGTTGTTTAATTTCAAAAAAATTTGTATTTGAATGTTTTTAAAATTTTAATTCTTATGGAAAAATAAATATTTATTTAAAAAAGAATTAAACCTTTTTCTAAGTAATAATTTTGAAACTGAATCAGAATATTCTTTAGAGTCAAGAAAAAGTAAGAATTTCGTCTGGAAAGCAGAAAAAAAGAAAAATTAAATTTTTATCGGAATTATTTAATTTTTTAAAAATATAAATGTAGGTTTTAAAAACCTGGAAAATTCGCAGGAAATTTGTAATGAGCAAAAGCGTGGCAACCCTGGATTATTATAATTTCGATATTCGATATTTTATCGATTATTTATGGCGATATTATCATTCCTACAATATATCGCTATGAATTAAAAAATCTCAAGAAGCAGTGAATATTTTCTAAAATATATACATTGTGAAATTCGTATGGAATATATAATTATAATGTCATTGTTGGCCTGAAATAATGACAAGAGGATATTGTAACTGTGTCTGATAATGAAATTGCGATAAACTCGCGAGATGTACTATTTCCCGCCTGAACTGTTAAAAGATAATCCTCCCGAGACTCTCTCCCTCCCCCTCTCTCTTTCCCTCCTCCTTCCCCCCTCTCTGTCTTCCCCTTTGCTTTGCAAAACTTTCAGCGCCACGCAAATCGTCATTCATTCATGTGCTTGGTACAGTCATAAACTTCCAAGAAGAAGTCAATTCGCAATGCGGTAATGAAATGCGGCTTCAAATAAAGAGGGCAAAAGAAAAATGAAATATTCAAACACTATGCATTTTTTTACTCCTTAATCTGTAGACTTAATAAATATATCTAGATAAAAACACGTGTTTTTATATAAAATATTTTTTAGTTTTATTATCTTTTAATGTTAAGAAACAATTCGACCGATTGTTTATGAATTAAAGAACGTAGTAAAATGTATTAAGTAACGTAATATATCACGAGTAACGTAAAAATCAGGGCGAATCTTAAACTTTGGTTCTAGGATTTATCGAAATTTTCGTTTAATAAGCTTTAAGGGTGTTTTAAATTTTAAGGGTCAAAATTCAAATGTTAGGTGACGAATATTGTCTCAAAGTTTATTTCAATTGAAAACGACCTGATAAGAAAAAATTCCGGGTGGCGAACATAACCTCAAAATTTAGTTGGAAAAATCGTTAAATATAACTATAAAAAATGTAGGTACTAAATCTTTATATTACCGTTTGAATGGTAAAAATGTGTCATGTGCACGACTCAATGTCACCATCTGGCCAAATCTTGTACCCGAGTTCTTTTGTTTTTATTAACTCGAAATACTTTGCTATATATATTCAAGAAGCCATTATACACCAAACTTCCGTTCACGAAAAGAAAGAAATCTCCTTTGCTTAATATATATAAAAATAACGAGCTTATTTACCCACACGAATGAGATGTATCTACTGCGAGAATCAACTGTAGTTATATATCTCTGTAGACATCTTGGAAAACTCTTGTCAATTTTGCAAACGAACGAAACCGCCGCTTTCCATAATGCGCCGTACGTTTGATGTCGATTTTCCCCTTCCAATTTTTCGCCGCGCATCAACCAACCTAAATCAAAACTCCGCTACTTATCAAAGGCAATATTTGCTTTTCCACCTCCACCTTTTATGCTGCCGTTTCTTCTTCTTCTCCTTCTAAAAATCAAGAAAAATTAACCCTCTTCTCTTCTCTTGGAAAAGTTATTTTCGTCTTTGGGAATTGATCAAAATTTATTATGAAAGACGATTTACTTTGTGTTTTATAATTTTGTTGAGCGGTCGTATGATTTTAAGCTCGGGGGGAATCACTGTGAACAAGTAGCTCCATCTCCGAACGTTTACTCGAAACTATCGATTATCTCGAATCGCCTCTTTTTCCCGCGAAAATTTGAACTTTGCTTGTATTATTCTTTCTCTACTTTATCCTTAATCTATTTGGGTATTTATAACAATAAAATCTTTCAATTATAAATTATTTTTAATAATAATAATAATAATAATAATAATAATAATAATAATATTAGTGCATAATAAAAATGAATAACTAATAAACAACGAACATTAATAAATTTAAAAAAATAACATTGTAAAAAAGTATAAAAAAATCAGTGAAGAAATATGAAGAAAATTTTTCAACGAGCATTAATATATTTTAAGAAAATTAACATTGTAAAAAAGTATAAAAAATCAGTAAAGAAATATGAAGCAAATGTATTCTTAAACATTAAAATTTTTTTTAAAGAATTAACATTGTAAGAAAGTATTAAAAAAAATCAGTGAAGAAATATGAAGAAAATATTTCCTTAAACATTAAAAATTTTTTTTAAAAATTAACATTCTAAGAAAGTATAAAAAAATCAGTAAAGAAATATGAAGAAAATATTTCAACGAACATTAATAAATTTTAAGAAAATTAACATTGTAACACTGTAAAAAGAAAGGTACTAATTAAGTACCAATTTTAGTACTAAATCGTAATTTGGTTCTATTTTAGTACCGAAATCAGCTCTAATTTAAAACCTTTATTTTACAGTGAAGAAAGTATAAAAAAATCAGTGAAGAAATATGAAGAAAATATTTCCTTAATAATTCTTCAAATATCTTTAGTTACATGATGATTATGGGTCATTGAACTTTCAACTGTTTATAAGAATCATTATTTAACTTTATGAGCAAGAAACAATAATTTTTGTTTTTAAGAATTTTGACCCATCGAGGAGTTTTTATTTTTAATTTGGTCTCAAGTATGAATCGCGATAAGTTCGACACAAATTCCGACGAATTGTCTGCAAATTAAATGGGGTCATTCGAGAGCGATACCCTATCCAAATATATTGTAAGAAAATAAATTGAAACATTTTTTTTTTCAAGTCGGTCATAACATAATTTTCGAATTTAAAAAAAAAATCGAAAATTCAGAAGGTTATAAAACGTATTAAATAATAAAATAGGAAAAATGGAAATATTCAATGACCTATAATTTATATATTAAAATTTATGCAAAGTTTATTATAAAACGGTCATTTAAAAGGTAACAAAGAAATCTCGAGAGGTTGCCAATAAAAATATTGTTTTGAAATAACGCATAAAGATTGACAGTGGAGGAAAGATTTTATCGCAGTTTTTTGTAATGTCTTGTAGTAAACAATAAAATAAGGGAAAAAATATTTCTTTAGGATCGGATTTAAAAGAAATACTTTTATGTGAGTGTGTTTACATATTTTATAAATTCAGATTTGTTTTTTCTTTTTGCATTTAGTGATGACGCAGTGGCAGCCTTGTGGCGCTAATTGCGCGATTAAGATTTAGTAATTTGTAGACGGAAATTAATGGATAACTTGCGACGACTAGTATTGCAAGAGGTAAATTAACGCCATGGCAGATGCCCAGGTAGTTTAGATGTTCGTGTCCGGCGACCGAAATCTATTGGGATGTAAGGAGTAACTATTCTATCGACGGCTCATTGCCACCTGGCTACATCTCGAGCCATTCCTCTAAACGCCTCGATTCTAATTCCTCGACCAATTTCCGATTCTCGATTGCCTGACTTATCTACTTCTTCATGATGAAACACCATTTCTCCTAAATTAGTTTTCCTCTCATTCAATGCAACTAATATTTTCCTTCTTTGGATTTCCAAATTGTTTCCGAATTTCTAAGAATTAAAAATACAGTTCTTCGGGATTTGTTTATAAGGAAGAATCGTTTAATGTTTCAGGCTAAGGATGTCCTCTAAGAGGAAGTCGCCACCAACAAAGTTATCGGAGGGCGGGGGCGGTGCGGGTACAGTGGCGGGCGAAGAGGAGGAGGACACCACCTCGTCTTTGGCGGGTGCAGGTGGTGATATTCCCGAAGAGGTCATCACCTCCGTCGACATTGAGGACTGCTACTCCCTGAGGAGACCAGATTGCGAGTCGTCCGGCTGCTCCTCGCCGGGGACAACGAGTGAGCCCGAGTTGCGAGACTCGCCGTCCCCATCGCCGAACTCACCGCCAACCTCCAAGAGACAAAGGCTGCTCTTCCTCTCGAACCAGGAGAATCTCTCCTACCACAATCACCACACGAACACGTCCTCGTCATCGGGGGGCATTCTCGAACCCGCCAGCTCATCCGAGTGCGGCTCACCACCCACTGTACTCGCCGACTCCTACTACTCCCATCAGGTCCACCATCACCACCACCATCATCATCACAACAACAACAACACCGTCACGCAAAATAATAACAACAACAACGGCACTGGACCCACTGCCGCCGGAAGCAAGAGGTCCATGGACGACGTCCTCAAGAGGCTCACCTGCAAAATGAACACTGGCTCCCTCTGTCTCCAGGACGACGCTAACAATAGGCGGACACCCCCGCCATCCTCCACGCCCACCAGTCATAACACTCACAGGTTAGTGCGGCTTTTTTGATTCTAAATTCTTTACCTAAAATTTGGTCAAAGCTCACTTAAGGCTCACTTAAGGCTCAAGAGCCGTTTGAAGCTAAAAATTCTATTAAGACCTAAATTTCGATCAAAGCTCCCTTAAGGCTCACTCCTAGCTCAAGGCTCACTTAAGGCTCAAGGACTGTTTGAAGCTAAAAATAATACTAAGACTTGTTTGAAGCTAAAAACTTGACTAAGGCTTAAAGCTCAAGGCTCACCTTAGGCTCAAGACTTGTTTAAGGCTCACTAAAGGCTAAAAACTTTTTTGAAGCTAAAAACACATCTAAAACTAAAGATTCATCGTCTAAAACTTAAGATTTTCAAGCGAGTCCTAAAAGTCTTTGTTAAGCTTTAAGCTTAAAAGTCTTAAGTCTTAGACGAATATTTAGTTTTAAATGTGTTTTTAGCTTCAAAAAATTCTTCAGCCTTAAGTGAGCCTTGAGCCTTAAGCGAGTCTTAAACAAGTCTTAAGCCTAAGGTGAGCATTGAGCTATACGCTCAATATTTATTTATTATTTTTCCATAGAAATGAAGATTTTCAAAAATTTTAAATTCAAACCTTTTTGAAATTAAACAACTTATAATAATTAAAGATTACCAAGTGATAAAATCATTATTTTACATTATAATCCTTTTGTTACTGGACCTTCTTCACAATTATTTTCATTATTTAAATTCAATTATAATTTTCTACAGTTTTTAACTAAAATTCTTCTCTAAATCAATTATTTTCAATAATTTTCGAAAAAGTTCTTTTTGAGAATTTTCAAATACATTTCTTTACAATACAATTTTACGTGTCAATTATTCGGAAATTCTTCAATATTAAATAATATTGTAGAAAATAAAAAATTCAAATAATTTTGAAAAAATTCAATTAAACTTTTTCAAAAGAATTAATTCTACAGAATTATTAGTTAAAAGTATGGAAAATTCAAATTTTCCAAAAATGATAATTTGCAACCTTTTAAAATTCAATTATTGATAAAAATTAACGATATAATGCTTTTAATATTAAATTTTTATTAGAAAATTCTACGAGAATTCAAACAAGTTTATTAACATTTTTGACAATAATATTGAATTTCTGTGAAGAATTTTATGAAAACTAAAAAAAATAATTGAATTTCTGCTAAAAATGTTATTTTTTAAAAGAATTGAATTTTTGGCAAGAATTTTGTTATTTATTAAAAGATAATTGAATTCTTTCCAAGAAATTTATTTGAAAGATATGAAAATAATTGAATTTCTGTGAAGAATTTTATGACATTTTTGAAAATAATTGAATTCCTCCTAAAAATGTTGTTATTTTTGAAAATAATTGAATTTCTGCAAAGAATTTTGTTATTTATAATGATAATTGAATTCTTGACAAGAATTGTATTACAATTTTTAAAAATAATTGAATTTTTTCAGAGAATTTTTAAATAATTATTAATAATTGAATTCGTTTTTTAAATCAATTTTTAATAAAAAATTTACGAAAATTCAATTATTGAAATTCAAAAATAAATCAGTTATTGAATAATTAAATTTTTGTTAAAATTAAATTCTCATAAAGAATTTTGTCAACAAATTTTTAAATAATTAAATTCTTTTGACGAATTTTAATAAAATTTTTAAGAATAATCACATTTTTCAAAAAATTCGATTAAAATTGTATCAAAAATAATTAAAATCCTGAAATAATTGAATTTCTGAAAAAAAATGTCTAACTCTTGAAAATAATTTTATTCTCGTGATTAATATTGTTATTTAAGAAAATAATTTAATTTTGCAAAGAATTTTACTAAAATTTTTGATAACAATTGAATTTAATAATTTTTGAACATAATTGAATTTCTGTGAATAATTTTATTACTTTTGGAAATAATTGAACTTCTGCAATGATATATTGTAACTTCTTCAAAATTCAATTTTTTTTTAGTGTTTTTAACTAAAATTCTTCTATAAATCCATAATTTTTAGTAATTAATAAAATTTTTTAAAAAACTAAGTTTTTAAAAATATCTAATTACATTCATTCAAAATTGAGAGTTTTGTTATGAATTTTAAAAATTCAATTTTTTCCAGAAAAAAGGTATGTAAGTAGCAAAGAGTTTTAAGGTTACCTGTTCGTTTTTTACACTAAATTATAATTTTTTATTTTAGGCGCAAAGAAGCTTTAAACGTCAGTGGTCTATATTTAGAATTCATCTTCTTTAAATATTTTTATTCCAAAAAAATACAGACATAACCTAAAATTGTTTGCTTCTTATATTTATACCTTTCTTCAGAGTGCGTCACTTGTATTTTTGTTTGCGTTACAAGTAATTTTTTAGTTTTGAGGTTATGTTAGGTTTATCTGCCCACCTAGCTTAGTTATTACAACCTAAAAGTCTAAAATTTGGTACACATGTATATTGTCAAAAAAATATAATAATCCAAATTGAAGATGTTTTCAAAGAAGAAAAATTTGTTCTGTAATTTATCGTTAATTCTTTCAATCACTTTTTTATGCTTTTGCGCGTCTTCTTTATATAACCTTGAAAAGAAAACAAGAAAAAATATGCCTTCATACACATCATTGTATAAATCTTGACTTGTTGGACAAAAAAATTGTGGTTACACACTATCAAACGATATCAAACAGTACAAAGCATCGATTCATGCACAATCTGCTACCTCTTTCGATTATTAAACGACTGTAGCGATATCGCTCTCAGGGCATGGTAATAAGTTCTTTGTGGAAAAAATACAAGAAACATCTGGTTTTCTTGTTATTAAATATTTGCGCCTAAGAAACGAGATTTTTATATTCCAAGTGGAATTTCTCTATCTTCATATAAAATTTATTATCCCCTTTAATGATCTCCTTAAATCTATTTTCATTTTTTAAGAAATGAAAACATTTTTCATTATGCAGGCATAATTTATGAATGTATTGTAATAATTAGTTTAATGCCCTCTATAACAGAGGTAGATAAGGGATTAAATGCCGAGCCGAGAGCAGATAAGAATTTTCCCCCAAGATTTCTTATCTGACTTTTGATTTTGTCCTTTTCGTTTGGTATCTTTCCCATCAAGGAGAATTTATACTTCCAAATGGATGTCTTTGGCATTCTTGTATTTTTTCTTCCTCCTCCTCTTCTTCTTCCCGCGACTCGTTTATATTCGTAGTTATCTTGTGCTCGGCTATTTGATAACGACCCACGGTTTACGGCCGGACTTTGTGGCTTTACGATGCTGCGTTTAACGAACGCTTTTAACGCTTACTTAGAAGCGGATTTAATAGCAAGTGTATCCAAGTTGAAGATTGCATTTACCTGTGTGTCACCTGCCCCTCATGTTCGTGTTCTGATCCTCCGCGTCCATGTTTGTAATTGACCCCCGAGAGTTTCGCCTCTAACATGAGAATGGGATTTTAGAATAATAAAAAAAACGAAAAAAACTGATACAAACATTGCACGCATCACTAAAGTGTTATGTACTTATCTCGACTGCAACATTTTAGATTCAAAGTCGTAAAGTCTGTTATATTGCCAACTCTTTTTTTGAAAATGCGCTGAGGAATTTTATTACATTTCCTCCAAGGTTTTGTTTCAACTTATTTTCAATAATGTAAGTAGTGGGCCAAAAAGTATTCCTAGAAAAAAACGATGCGCTCCTTGGCATTACTCTATCTAAGAATATACTTTCAACTACAATAAGAGAAGGAAAAAATGTCCCATCGAAAATAACGATGATGTTATTTTCCCCCATAAATTTTGCTACGCATCAGAGAAACATAAGCTTTTGAAAAATGATTTAACATAAATTATCGGAGGATAAAAGGCCATAATGTGTGGAATTCGAACGGCATTGTTATGCAAAGGAATACTGGCAGATTTAGTGGGCCTGTGATAAATGGACTGCCTGGCCTAAACGGTTCTCCACTTATGCATCATGAATGATTACGACCGAAATTGCCACCTCGGGCACACACTACAATACACGTAACTCTCTTATTGCTGCAACGAGACTCTTTCATCTCGACGTGAAACTCTCCGCGAGCGCATGACCTCTCTTCCTAGTTGCGAGAAAGGAATTTGTCAATCATTTGTGTCGACAGATTCGTTCACGTTCCTCTTGCCAAATTCCGCTAAACGAACCTTATTTTCCAACAGTGAACATGCAACTTTCTTTGTTCAGAATTAACACTTTGATCCTCCTGACGAAAATTTTGCCAAAATGATCCCCCCTCTCTCTCTCTCTCTTCTTTTCTTTTTGTTTGATTTTTCTTCTTGTGAGATTGACTCCTCTGTTAATACATGTGTCTTCCATTTATCACAGTTCGCGTCCGTTATTAAAGCGCGCATAAAATTGCATTACTCGCGGCGAAGGAGAGCGATTGGTTGAATAAGTGTGAAGGAAAAAAGAAAAAATGAGAGAGAGAGAGAAGCGGCTGTTTATCTCGTGAGGCTCGTCCGATGAAAATAAACCCTTTACGCGCAATAATAATAACAATGAGGCTTTTGTTGGTCCAAGTGGATTCAGTGGGCGCGCTAAATAGTGCCGGTAGCCCCTAACCCGTTCATTGATAAATATCAGACCAAAGAACCGCACACAGCCAAGGCCTTTCACATAAGGTTCCTTCTGACAGAAAGAATTATTATTCTCGCTATGGATACAAATGTTCCGATTTCGTCCTAATTAAACATGAATTCAAACACTGCTGTTGCCCTATTAGTATTTTTTTGTTGCCACTTCGAAATGTTTTTTTACTCCAAGTCTCCAATGTAGTGTCCATGAGTAAGAGTCAAATTACTTTGACTTTCTATTTTCGATACGATACAGAATAATATCTTCTAATTTCATGTCAGAGTGTGTGTCAAATTTGACAGTGTGTTAAATTTCCAGTTTCTGCTTTGCCATGTGGATTTCTTTATGATTTGTTTTCTTTAAAATATTTTGATTCACCTCCTCCCTTTATTCACAAATGTTTCTTAATCTATTTGCTTTGGATAATTGTATCTGCTTCTTGTGCTTTTATTAGTAATGGCGAAAAATAGAAGGTCTACGAAGGGGTTCGTAGTATTTTTTCAAAAAAAATGGTTGGATGATATATCAATTACAGTCGTATCAGTGTAAACATTGTTGGTAGAGTATAATTTTAGGGTCAAGAAGCTAAAAAAGCATATAGCTGTCTTTTTAATCCTAGACTCACTAATTGGGATATTTTTAAACTCCAGGCTGACTTCAAACTATGGCATTCTTTACAAATTTTCACTATATAGAAAGAAGTCAACTTATTTTAAGATAGTCGCACTTCAAAGTTATCAAAAAGTTCAAAGATTCCGAAGAGTTATTAAAAGCATCTTGAAATGCATTAATCTTCAAGATGAAAGATCAAAAAATAAAATTTTTTAATTTTAACCTTTAATTATTCTAGTATTCAACATGAGGAAAAATTACTCAAATTTCATAAAAACGTAATCTTACTTACATAAATATAGATCTCACGTTATGCAACTTGCAACCTACCCTTACCACATAACTATTGTAAATAATGGCATTTGTTTAAAACGTAATTTAAAAAATAATTTTTACTGCTTCTGTATGGGTTTCGAAATTATATAAAAATATCTTTAGGATAACAAGCATTGCTAAATATAGTAATCAACCTTTTGAAAACCACCCCAAAGTCAAATAACTACCCCTAAATGATAAAAAAAATTTCCTGAAAGATTAAAAATACATTTTTTTTATTCTAAAAGCTTCAAAAGAATTAAAAAGAATATATTTCTAAGCTCCACGGATTTAAATATGGGTAATTCTACAAATGAGGGAATTTACGATGTCCAATACTATTTTTTCAATTAATTTTGAAAAAAATAAAATTATTTTCAATGGAAATAGTAGAGCTTTATGGTTTCTATATATGACACAAAACGTGACCCAGATTCGAAAATTATTTTTTGCAAAAAATGAGCATTCAAGAGCTAAATTCTCAGTTTCCTATATAGCATTTCCTAAATGTGAAAATAAATGTTAATAAACCAAATAAATATTGATTTTAAGCGTTTAAATGCAAATTTACACTTGGATAACAATTTTAAGTAGTTGTACTTTACAAAGATTTCAACAATTGTTACATTACTTTATATTTTATTTAAAAAATATTATCTTGAATTTCGTCTCTCGAATTCATTCTCAGTCTTCTGGCATCATCAAAAACGTTAAAATTTTTAAGAGTTTTTATTCCAATTACTGAATTAATTTTTCAATAAAAAATCCTCATTAAATTTGTGAAAAATTGGTGAAACCTAATATTTGATTTTCATTTTGAATAAATATTTATATTGTTATAAACAAATGAAGAAAAAAGTACTTTTTCTATATAAAATGTTTATACTATTTATCAACCTTTTATCGTTTTGGTTTCTCCTACTGCTGACATTTTATGATTTTATTCTACGCGAATTTCAAAAAGAATTTTTTTCGCGTAATCTCAAAAAACTTGAAAATAGATTTTTCGCTTACTTTTTCGAAAAATGAAAACCTTGAGGGAGTAAAAAAGTCTCACAGTGAAGAGTAGTAGTTGATCCACACAGTGGCCTAGATACGAAAATTGAGCATACTGAAGGACTTTTAAAAGTCAAAGAATGCCACACCGATGGTACCCGGCAGCATATTCACAATGGACCTGTATCACTTATTCGTGGTCGTTTTCCGCAGCATAAAAGAGTCGTGGGTTTAAAAGCGGCGCGCGGAGAGGGTCAACGGCGTGGCACGCCAGTGTAAGGGACGCTCCAGGGACGGTATCCGGGGGCCTATCACCGAGGCAAACACACTCGTCCCGTTGAGATTGCGCGGCCACGGCTCCATCTATTATTCATCGACGAGCGCGAAAACCCTCGGACAAACCCGAGCTTGCAAACTAAAACACACCCACACACATTTTCGAGAATGAAAAAAAAACCCTTGTCGAAGACCTATCGAATGAAGCTGATGGAAATGCGGGGATAACAGGTTTCATTATGCAGCGGAAAAAGCGCATAAAATCAATCGAGGTCGGCTAACTGAAATTCCCTGTCGGCTAACTGAAAGGGAAGAAGCGTTTCATGTTGTGTAGCTGTTTTTTTTCATTGTGGCTTGATACGAGTGTATCATTTTTACTATCTTCTTTTGCGTTTCTTTTGTTGAAGGAGAAATAAAATTTTTGTTCTGGATTTCAGTAGCAGCAGCAGCATAGCAAATAGTGTCGCACCCTCGCCAACCGGAACCGGAAGGACGCAGAACTCAGACACGGGTCTTCAGGACGGCGCTGCAGCGTTGCACAGGGTCCTCTGTGCGGAGAGTGTCGCCGAGAAGGAGCGAAAGATTTCTGAAATGATACTGCAACTGCAACTGCTTAGGGATCATTTGCTGCAAACGCCAGAGCAGATGAAGGTAAGTCTTGCATTTTTGACACACATCTAAATCGTCTTCGGATCATTAGATTCAGGAAATGTTTACCAAAGGGGAGTAGAGAATGCACGAGCTTATGATCGATACGTCGAAATTTATTCGATTCGAAATGCCCTCACTCGGCAGGAAGTGTCGGACATTAAATCCCCTTACCTAACATAAAATCGTCGGAAAACTGAAATATCAGATCCATACATTCCAATCTCTCTGATCTTTTGGTTTTCAAAAAAATTTGTTGCAAGTGCAATGATGTTTTCAGAAATAGTATTGGTAGAAATTTGGAAAGAACTTATGACAAACTTTTGGGTACGGAACTTGGGTATGAAAAGTAATAAATAGTCTTTGCCTTACTACAGACGCGAACGGTTACAAATACTCATCGAATATATTGTGTTTAATTAACTGCCTACTTTATTTTAACTTCTTGAATATACATTAAGTGATAGAGACCTTTTAACAAAAGTTTAACAAACTTACCTCCTTTCTGCTTCTCAGAATATTTGACCCTCTGCTCTGGTTTTTACGATTTGGTTTTCCACAAATACCGTTTTTGGTTGTTGCAACACTCACAGGTCAACATTGTTCATAAAGAAAGTCGAATAGTTTCGTAAGAAGTGGAAAATCCAGGGGGAAAACATTGTAATTAGAAACTGGTGTGTATCTGAAATTGAGCGGAAATGATCTTGTTGCACATTGTAGAGTTTTTTGCAATAGAGTTAATAATGAGTAAGTAACGTTTCCCGGCGATGGAGTTTGCGGTCATTTATCACGAGGTTGTTATTCTTATTGCACAATATATTATCTTTTAATATTAGACTAAGGATTGAAACGTTGAGATTAATGCGAGTCAGTATCGCGGAGAGAAAGTACGACATGTGCGCCTGGTTGGAAGGGGGGGTGAGGAGAGGGTCCACAATTATGTAATTACGTGGTTAAAGAATCGCGGTCGCGTGGAAATTCGACGACAAGAAAAACAAGAAACTGACACGTTTCCTGCAAGCTTTATACGTATGCAGCGAAACTCGCGACAGCATCAAGTTAGCTGTCACGGCGAGTTAACGTCAAGCACACCGGATGTCGAGTAGGAAAAGCTGTCGACTTCCGTTTCGCGTTACACACGAAAAGATGATGATAACTTCCAAAAAGGGTGAAAAAAAGCTTATGTTATGCACATCGCGAATTCCCGTCAAGACGAAAATGCTTTCCCATGGGACAATTATCTCCTCAGACAAGAATCCTTTATCCTGGGAAGAAGATATATATTTGGAGGATTTAACAAAGTACATCGCAGATCCGGAACAAACCGGTAGGTGCACAAAAGAGACTCGAAAACACAAAAATAAAAGCTGACGCGATGATGAGGAGTAAAAAAAATCGACAACAATTTCTACAAAAATGAGAACGCGTGCAGATAATGCCCCGCGATATTACCGTTATTATACCTCAGTCATTTACGTGCAGCACAGAATCCCGCTAAATGCCTCCCAGTGAAATTCCTCGAACGCACTTATAACTTAACTCCACTTTATAAAAGGCTTATATATATACACACGGAGATTCGAAAACAATACTGGCAGAAAGTCTGCAAGTTGGCAGCAAAAAGATGCAAAAAAAAATTTAAAAAAATAAATGTGCGGGGAAAAAGAGCTATTTCATCTTCCTGAGTTCGAAGGTCTAATGACTTTCCAGGGAGATGTTAACCGCATGCAAAGATTCGCATATAACTGATGGTGATGACTATCTGCATAATATTATTGGGGGAAAATTACACTTTGAACAAAGTTTCGGAAATTTTCAATTTAGAAAATTTATGCTGAGGGAAAATTGAATTTTGTTTGTTTATTAGAAACGATGCTTTCTTCTTTGGAGTATTATTGAAATTTTGGGGTAAATTTTAGAGTGAAGGAAAGATTTTTTTCTGATCTGTACGTCTGTAAGGGCGTCTGGATTTACCTTAACTTCCGTTTTTGTTCTATTATGCCGATTTTTTTATTTTCACAAGGTTATGTTACGATTTTTTTCAAACTAAATTTCATAACTTTCCCAGGTTTTTCAAGGCTCAAATATTTTTCTACTTTCGATTATTTTTCAAAATTAAAGACTTTGAAGTTAGCGTCAACGTTAAGCGTAAAAGAAATTTCTTCTGCTCAATCAAGTAAATAACTATTTTTTCAAAGATTTTAAGTTCGAACTGTTAAATGAAAAATTAAATTCTAAATGTAAATGAAAGAAATAAAATTGGAGATTTTGAGTTCGAACTGTTATTAATCAAATATTAATCAAATCCCAAAAAAAAACCTAAAATAATAAACTTTCTCCCCTTATTTTTAAAAAAAATTTCTAAAAATTGTCAGTTTTTGTAAGTTAGAACATTTTTCAGTTGCTTAAAAAAAATTTTTACTTTTCGAAAACTTTGGAAAAGTTTTAGTATTTTGAAACTTAGAAATCTTTTTATGTTATTCCACATAGTCTTTGAACTTCGACATTTTTTCATAAACAGTACCTAGATATAAAATAATTTTTACTTCTGAAAAAAATCCAAATTGTTTGGAATTTTTGATAAATTGTATTAATTGCAGAATAAATTTTACTAAATTTAAATTATATTTCACTGATTTTCAATAAAATTTACTGCGGATATTGTAAAATTCGTAGTAAAATTAACTTAAGACTTGAAAAAATTTCAAAAATTTCTTCAAAAATAGGAAAATTTACTATTAAAAATTGTTATTTGTGGAATAACATTTCCTATTCTCCAAGACAATTTAAAAAAAAATTAGAAAAATATAAATTTTTCGAATTTATATTTCTAAATATTTAAAAAGTAAAAAATAATAAAATTTACTCTAAAAATAAGAATATTTAATAGCTAATTGTAATGTTCAAGAAAAATTTGAACAATTTAAAAAAAAATTGACATTGAAAATAGTTTCAACATTTAACATTAAAAAAATTAAAATAGTTTTAATGTAAATTTTTTTAATAAAAATTATTCAAATTTTCCTCGAACGTTACAATTAGCTATTAAATATTCTTATTTTTAGAGTAAATTTTACCATTTTTAAATGAATTTTTCTAGTTTTTTTTTAAATTGTCTTTGAAAATATAGTAAAATTTCTTCCAGAAATAACAATTTTTAATATTAAATTTTACTATTCTTGAAGGAAATATTTCCAAGTCCCAAGTTAATTTTACTAGTTTTTTTTTAAACTTCATATTTTGTAAAATTTATGTAATTTTAAAACAAAAGTAGCGTTGAAATAAAAATTTTGATTGAAAACTTAAAAAAAAGTTATGGACTTTAAAAAACATGCATAATTAACAGAAAAATTTTAACAAAAAATTATATTTTAATTTAAAACAACTGAAGTTAACCTTTTCGTGTCCCCGAGAAACCCAGTGATTAGATTTAGTTAAAAGTTGTTACCCATAGGGGTTTTTAAGGTTGCTGATAACGAATCTAAAGTCAGATTTTCAAAATTTAAAAAATTCAAAATGGCGGATCCAATATGGCGGATATTTTTTCAAAATTGCTCAAATTTTAATAAAACTTGTTACTCGGGGGGTTTTTGGGGTCGCTGATTACGAATCTGAAGTCAGATTTAAAAAATTCAAAATGGCAACCCGGAAAACCCCCGAATAACAAGTTTCAAGATAATTTGAGCAGATTTGAAAGAATGTCCATAATTTGAAATTTTGAAAATCTGATTTAAGATTCGTAATCAGCGACCCTGAAAACCCCGGAGTAAGGTTTGTTTGGTTCAACTAAAATTTTGCTTCAGATGATTAAATTCTTTCTTCGATCGCAAAATTTATTAAACTAAACCAAATGTTTATTTAAATGAAATTTAGGTTAAACTTTTCCAAGTTTTCCAGCAATAGGCTCAGGTTAAGTTGAACAATTTGTCAAATGGTGCGACATTTTTTTAAATGAACAGCAAAAAGTAGACGCAACTTTCTGCATCTTTAACTACGTTGATCTCGAGACAAATATTTATTGCACAATAGTTTTATTGCTTTATTGATCTCTATATCAATAAACTACTGTCATTAAATGACAACGAGTTTTTTTTCGCATAAAATATCACATTTTTATTTTAGTCGTACACAAACAATTTTTTGAGATTTGAACTACATAATTATATACAAATTTCCATATATTTCTTCAAGAGTCAAGTGTTATGACCGGTTTTGAATTATTTTGAGCTCATATTCACCATAGACAGCAGAACAAATGATGTTGAACGCATAATTCAATGAAACAACGCGACAGGTTGCAACAATATCTTATGGACCAAATGCACCTAGACCTCATAATTGTGTAACAAGATATAATAATAATCGAGAGTGACTTGCGCAAAAACTGAGCACCACACAATCACGCGATCGGTAGCGTATTATTGAATAAAAAAAAGTATATGACCACACATTTAAGACCTCGGACGTCGAACCTTTATGGGACCACATTTATATTCCGGAATCTGATAATAGTACGAATAACATCTGTCGTAATGATCAGGTACAACTGGTTTAAAAGCCATATAATGCGTGTGTCTCCCAGCTACCAGTTATACGCGATGGAAAATCGCGCGTCGTTTGTCGCACGACGCGTGGCGACAAAAAAATTATCCACTCAACAAATATGGTATCCGTTATTTATATGTTGAAAGTATTACCTGAACACGGTAAATAGATGTTTTTTTTCATTCACTTTTAAGACAACAAATTTCTCTTCGTCGCTTTAAGTTCGCGTATAGCCGAAAAATATTGCTAATTTTTAAATCGACTTTTTTTCTGTTAGGCGTCGAAGTGTATCGCTATATATATCGATTATATCGAGAAAAAGAATATTAAACGCTTCAAATCGGTATGATTTCTTACATCGGTATGATTTACGTTTTTTTTAAAGTATCAAATTGATACTAAAGTGGAAAAAAAAATTTGTATCAATTTATGATTTGATCCATATTTTTGGTATCACT